GGGCGCGGGCGCCCTCTGCTGACTCGGAGCCCGGAGCGGGCGCACTAAGGCGACAGCTGCTCCTTCACCATGCGAAGGCACCAGAAGGCTTCATGGTTCTTTGACCCGAGCGTCCCAGCCGCGGCCCGGCCCTGAGCGGGTTGGGGGAGGGCGCAGGCTCCCATATCCCTTTGGCTGCACCCGTAAACACCCAACTCCTCCCCAAGCACCTGGCTTGGTGGCAGGTGGGGGCGGGGACCCAGCCTCAGGCGCTCGGACGTCACTCTCCTGTGAGGGCCTGCCCCCGACCCCAGCCAACCCGAGGCCGCCTCCTGTTCCCCACCCCCAAGCCCCGCCCAACACCCCCGCAACTGGATCCCTGCCGCCCCGGTGAGCCGGCGGGGACCGGCTGTCCGCTCCCGTCGCCAGCCGTGGGGCACGCCGTGCCCCCCACTCCCGCCGAGAGAAGCCAGGTCGCGGTGCCCGCTTCTCGACCCCAAGACCCGGTCCTTCCACTCAGCCTCCCCTCCCGGATTGCAGTCTTTGTGACCTTTTTTCTGTCCCCTCCCAAGCTGAGAGCCCCCAGACCCGGCCCGCACCTACAACTTTGGTCCCTGCCTGTCTGGGCGCAGCATATAACAGGTCCCAGTTCCCAAGAGGGCGAAATCTCCCGGGAGGCCCGCTGGGCTTATTACGTTACTGGGGTGGATGCCATGGGTCCCAGTGCCCAGGGAGCCCCACTGCTGCCTTGGGTCTGGCTCGAGGTCGGGGTTCTCAGCCTCGCGCACCCGTTGACTTTGGGGCGCGATCATTCTTTGTGGGGTGGGGGACTGTCCTGTGCATTTTAAGTGCTGAGCAGCATCCTGGCCACTCTCCTAGTTGCAACAACCAAAAATGTCCCAGACACTGCCCAGTGTTTCCTGGGGGCAAACTCTCCTGGTTGAGAACCACTCTTCCGGGGTGTTCTGGTGGGTGCTGAGCCAGCCCACACAGGGCCCTGGATCTGGAGCCAAAGCCTCCACCATCCCAAGAGCTAGGAGAGTATTTCTGGGCTCCTCTCTCCAGGCTGGTTTACAGACATCTCAGTTCAGCTTGGGGACTGTGACCCTTAGCCTGACAACATTTGGGCAGCATGTGACCAGCCAGCTCCGCTCACTGTATAAACACCTCCTCAGCTCCTGCCCTAATGTGGGCACTGAGTGGGCCCTGGGACACGGATGGAGGAGACTCAGGTGTTTCCTTGTCCCTAGCAGTCTGAGTAGTTGGGGCACCAGAAAGAGACTCACACGGTGTGAGTCCATCAGGCAGCCCTGGGGTTCAGGGGAGAAGCTGGGGGACGGGGCACAGTGGGGAGCATCCAGGTCAGCAGGGGCTCAGCTGTGGACCCCAGTCCTTGGAGTTGCCCAGACGTGGCAGGGCTCAGCCACTGTTGTCTCTTTCAATAGGAAAGGCAAAGGTCAGTAACCTCTTACACACACACACACACACACACACACACACACACACACGAGTGCACACATGCACACACATGCACACACACACGAAGGTAAGGAGTGAGGGGGTGGGGTCTTGGAGAAGGACAGAAAACGAATCAGTTCCAGCTGGGGAAGATTCCGTGCAGTCCCTGAACCAGGCTCAAGTCGGGGGATGGTCATCACAGCCAAGCGCAGGGCACAGAAAAGGTTGGGGGCAGGATATTGGTGGCACCAGCCTCCCTACTCCATCCCCCACTCCACATGCAAAGTAGAATTTTCAAAAGGATCCACTCCCATACTTCCAGGGAAGTTTTTAATAGTCCCCCCTCCCCCCAAGCTCATATCGTATTTGCATAAAGAGTCAGAAGAAACAGTCACAGGTTAAAGTGGAGGGGGAGGGTCGCTGGGACCTGGCAGATAAGGACAGGAAGACTTCTTACTTTTTTTTCCTCTGTCCCTCCCTTCCTTCCTTCCTTCCTTCCTTCCTTCCTTCCTTCCTTCCTTCCTTCCTTCCTTCCTTCCTTCCTTCCTTCCTTCCTTCCTCCCTCCCTCCCTCCCTCTCTTTCTCCCTCTCTTTCTTTCCTCCT